AAAAAAAAAAAAAAAAAAAAAAAATCAACTGTTCTAGCAAGATCTCTTCAAGTTGGTGATATTTGAGCACAGAGCCAGAGTGGGTAAATGGACACTGTAAGACCATGAGGAGGGCCAGATGTGGTAGGTAGCATACTCCTGTAATCCCAGTGCTCTGGGAGGCTGAAGCAGGAGAGTTGCAAGTTCAAGCCCAGCCGGGGCAACTTAGTGATTTAGCAAGACCAAGGGCAGAGACCCCGAGGAGGAGGTGTGTCCTACATATACAGTCACAGCAGTGAGGCCCAAGACACTGCAGCTGAGAGAGGGTGAGCAGGGCAGGCTGTGAGGTCAGGGGAACAGTGAGGAGCCAGAGTGCAGAGCCTCACAGAGCATCCTGGTGACTTCAGTGCATGTGCCAAGTGCCGCAGGGATTCCCACTTTGCAGGACCATCTGGCTGCAGAGTGACCTTGCCAGGAGCAGGGCAAATGGGCTCAGTTACGAGGCTGCCCAGTAACTGGAAAAGAAACTGGAAGAGAGTGCAGATGGGAAAGGCTGGTTCTGTACTTCTTGAGGGAGAACTTGTAGGATTTGCTGGTAGGTTGGCTATGGCGTATGAAGGGTGCAGCCTTGGCCTGAGCATGTGGAAGAACAGCTCACCAATAACTCAGCATGGAGAAGGCTGTGGGTACAAGCTCAGAGTTCTGTTTTAGACTTAGGTTGGAGATACTTGTATCCAAGTAGAGTTGTCAGGCATAGCTACTGCATGTACAGATCGGGAGTTTGGAAGAGAAGCCTGGGCTAGAGAAAGACATTTGGGAGCATGTGGTATTTAAAGCTATGAAGCTGGCTGGGTATGGTGGTACAGGCCTGCAGTAGTCCCAGCACTTGAAAGGCTGAGGCAGGACAACTGCTGTGAGTTTGAGGCCAGCCTGAGCTACATAGTGAGACCCTGTCTCAAAAAAACAAAAGAGCCAAGCGTGGTGGCGCACGCCTGTAATCCCAGCACTCGGGAGGCTGAGGCAGGAGGATCGTATGTGAGTTCGAGACCAGCCTGGGCTGCATAGTTCCAGGTCAGTCTCAACTACATAGTGAGACCCTGTCTCAAAAAACAAAACAAAACAAACAAACGAAGTTGTGAGACCAAATGGGTCACTAAATCCGTAAGTGTACCTGGAAGAGAGCAGGGCTCTCCAGCATTAAGAGTGAAATGAGAACACAGCCAAAGTGAGAAGGGAATCTCTGATGTCCTGGAAGCCAGATGAAGTCTAAAGACAAAGCAAATGACTGAGTGCGGCTGAAGGGCCTCATGGTAGGAACTGGCCACTGTTTAGCAGTGAGGCGGTGGCGGCTCTGCCAGCCTTCATCACACGCCCTGGTCACTTGTCAGTGTGAAGGCTGGCTGAGAGGAAGGCGAAAGTGACCTGTGTAGAATGAGAGGCTGGATTTGGCATCTGGGGCAGCGGGGTAGGAAGCTGCACCGGCTTCCTACTGCTGGGTCCGTTACCTTCACCCTTCTTTCCTCAGTTTGGTTACTGGCTGCTGCTACCACCTTCTGGAGAATCCTACCATCACTCACCAGAAGAACCGGCCCACCCGGGAGGCCGTAACACACCTGCTGGGTGTGGCCCTGACACGCTACAACCACATGTTCAGTAAGTGGCTTCGCTTTGCCCCGCCCGTGTGGTCTCGCCCACGATGCCCATGCCTCCGACTTGTGCAGGTGCCACTGTGAAGATTGTCCAGATGCTGCAGCACTTTGAACACCTCGCACCTGTACTTGTGGCAGCCGTGAGTCTATGGGCAACGGATTACGGCATGAAGAGCATCGTGGGAGAGATTGTAAGGTGCCTCTGCTCCACGTGTCTAATGCTCAGTCTCCCTTGGGAAGGGTAAAGAGAGGTTGGAAATACATTCTGCGCAGCATGAGATTATTCCTGTGTTCGATACCCATTTTCCCTTCCCTCCCTGAGAACTAAATAGTCCAGCTGCCTCACCACTGCTGTTTCCTTTCCTGTGCAGAGAGATTGGACAGAAGGGTCCTCAGGAGCTGAGTCGGGATGCATCGGGAGCCAAGGGCTTCGCCAGCTTCCTGACGGAGCTAGCAGAGAGGGTGCCTGCGGTCCTGCTGTCCAGCGTGTGTGTGCTGCTGGACCACCTGGATGGAGAGGTAGGTGCCCACGGAGGCCTCAGGTTTTCCTAGGTGTGAAGGTTGTTGTTGAAAGTCTTTCTCTTTATATTTGTCTTACTTTTTGTCCCTTTTAAATGTGGTACTGAGGATCCAACCCAGGGCCTTGTACACACTAAGCACACAATTTTTGACAGAGCTTATCACCAGCTCAAAAGGTTTGTTTTTAAGAAAATAGTTTTCACATGAACCACGAGTTATCTAGGTTTGTCCCCGGGGCAGTTCCCTCCTGTCAAGAAGCAAATGGAGAGTTGAGTAAGGAGCCCCCTGTCTAGGCCTGGCGAGGGAGATGAGAGTCTTAGTTTGAGTTGACTCAGCTTTGGTTCTTTGTCCCCTTCATCCCTCAAGTGAAGCCTTTTCCTGCTGTCTGGTGCACCTGCTTTCTCAGATCAACCCGTGTGTTTTTTTCTTTGATACCAGGAATTGAACTCAGGACCTTGCACTTGCCAGGCAGGCACAGCGCCACTGAGCTACATCCCTGGCCCTCCGTGTCTATTTTTTTCTCAATTCTCTCTCACCCCTTGATCCTAACCTGGCTGCTTCTCAAAGTGATGGGTGAATATCACAGACAGAGACCAATGATTTATCTAATCTAACTTTTAACTTCTTATGAAGGATTCTGTTCTATGGCTCATGGCCTGTCAAAAATCCCAAACCCTCGAAAAAAGGAACTGAGCTGTGTTACGTGCATGTACCGGTTCTCCACAGTGAATGTGATCACTGTGTACTGTAAACATGAACTGAAAAATCCAAACCCTTTCCTCCACCAGACTCTTTAACACACTTGCTCGGTATCTAGGACTGATCTCTGCATTTTGGTCCATGAAATGAGGAGAGTTGGGGAAGAAGGAGATGTTTATAGAAGTCAAAGGCTTTATGACCTCAGATACAAGACATAATAAACACTGTTCAAATATACATTGGTGGGTGTATGTGATATCCAGAATTCAAAATGCTGCAGAATTTCTACTTTTTGAGCACCAGCATGGGACAAGTAGAAAACTTGATACCACACGGAAACTTTAAAGTATTTTGTAAGATTCCCTTCAGAGCTGGGCACGGTGGCACAAGCTAGTAGCCCAGTACTTGGAAGGCTGAGGTAGGAAAACTACAAAAGCCCAGGAGCTGGAGACCCATGTAGGCAATGTAGTGAGATCCCATCTCAAACACACAAAAGATCCCCTTCGGCTGTGTGCAAGGTATATCAAAGACATAAATGGATTTCCTGTTTAGATTTGGGTCCCCTCCCCAAGATATCTCCCCATATGTGCAAATAATCCAGAATATGAAAAAAACCTGACACATTCTAGTCTTAAGCATTTCAGATAAGGGATACTCAGCCTGTATCTCCATACTTACTGAGGTTACCCTTACAGAGAGAAACTGGGTGGCCTTTGTTTATCTTTTTATCTTTTTTATTTTTTTGAAACAGGATCTTGCTGTATGGTTCAGGCTGGCCTTGAACTCACTGTATAGTCCAGGCCTGCCTCAGACTCACAGCTGATCCTCCTGTCTCAGCCTCCCGAGTGCTAAAATTACAGGTGTGAGCCACCACACCCCGCTCAGCTCCTATTTATTTTCTGAGCAAATAAGCCTACTCAGGGATTTACTTCTTCCTGTGACCATGGGACTAAGTATGTAGGCAGTTGACAAGAAAAGTCCTAGAGAGGCACAAGCAGCTTGCCCATGGCTGAAGGTCTTGTGCCAGTGGGCACAGAGTTTAGGAAGGGAGTCGGTCAATGTGGGCACTGCCAGCTGCTCTGATCCCTCCTAGAATTACATGATGCGCAATGCCGTGCTGGCAGCCATGGCAGAGATGGTGCTGCAGGTCCTGAATGGGGACCACCTGGAGGACACGGCAAGGGACACCAGAGATCAGTTCCTGGACACCCTGCAGGCCCACGGCCACGACGTCAACTCCTTCGTCCGCAGCCGTGCCTTGCAACTCTTTACCCGGATCGTGCAGCAGAAGGTGAGCAGCCTTCTGGGAGGTGGAGCCCTTGCCTCCCTCCACATGCATGCCATAGGAGGTCCACCCCACAGCCAAGGCCAGACATCCGGTTTTAGTGCTGCTGCTGAAAGCCTCCCTCTCCCAAGGGTGAGGGCACCTGGCTCTGGGCAGGAGCTGCCGTGTGCCCTACCTGCTTCTCAGTGCTGCTTATGTGTCTCATGTCCCATGGGGACAGTGCAGCATGTGTGTTGCGGTCATCTGAAAGAGTGGATGGCATGGTATGAGCGGACCCTTCTCTTCTGCCCACCCAGGCGCTCCCTCTGACACGTTTTCAGGGCGTGATGGCCTTAGCCGTGGGGCGTCTGGCTGACAGGTCAGTGCTTGTGTGTAAAAACGCCATCCAGCTGCTGGCCAGCTTCCTAGCCAACAACCCCTTCTCCTGCAAGGTAAGTGACTTGTTCTACCACAAAGGCAGAAGGAAAGCAGATAGGTGAAGGTATGAGTGACTGCGTGTTCATTCCATTGCGCCAGCTTAGTGACGCTGACCTGGCTGGGCCACTGCAGAAGGAAACCCAGAAGTTGCAAGAGATGCGGTCCCAGAGGCAGAGCACAGCAGCTGCCGGTGAGTAGCCACCCTGTGCCCTCCCAGCCTCCTCCTGCCACCAGGAACTCTGACACACTGAGCCACTCTCCCTCAGCTGCAGCCGTGGAGCCCGAGGAAGAGTGGGAAGCGATGCTGCCAGAGCTGCAGTCCACCCTGCGGCAGCTCCTAGAGCTCCCGCAGGAGGTGGAGGATGAGGAGGCCCCCGAGGAAACTGCTGCCGCAGCAACCGCGGAAGAGGCAAAAGGACGCATCCGTCAGCTGCTGGCCAAAGCTAGATACAAGTACGGGAAGAACGGGATGCGCGCCCAATGTGTGGAGTAGAGTTGACCCCTGCCAGGCTGTCTGAGGCTTCGTGTTTCTCCGTAAGGTGCTGTGCTGAGGCTCACTGTCCCTGACAGACAGCACATTTCCACTGTGGTGAGGCCTGGTCAGAGGCACAGGCCACATTACATTTGCTTTTCTACTTCATACAAACAAGTAGATGCAAACAGAGTTCTGGATGTAGAACATGTACAGTGCTTAATTCAGTTTTGTTATCTTTAAAGCAAGAAATTGATTAGGCCATATCTCTAATGACTTTTTAATTCTGCATTCTCTGAGCTAAGAAATAATGTCCAATTTATTTAATCTCTTAGTCTGCCAATTAGCGTGGTTGGAATCCTGACTTTAGAGAAAAGATTTATCTCAGTGTTTTTGTTGCACTAGAACTTCAGAGCAGTTTAGCAACAAAGGACCCTTATACCTATCAACAGGTATACTTTTTTATTTTACTTTGTTTGGTTTGGTTTGGTTTTTTGAGACAGGGACTTGCTTTGTAGTTTAGGCTGGCTTTCTATTCACTTTGTAAGGGCCAAGCATTTAGCTCAGTGGTTCCTCCATCTGCCTCAGAAGCACAAGGTCCTGAGTTTAATCTCCAGTACTCCCCCCCAAACACTTTGTATCCCAGGCTGGGCTTGAACTTGTGGCAATCCTCCTGCCTGCCTCAGCCTCCCAAGTGCTGAGATTATAGGCATGCACCATCAAGCCCAGCTGTCAACAGGTGTTTTTTAACTTCAGCCACGTATCATGTACTTAATTCTCACCTAGTCACAATGTTCAAAAAATGCAAAGTGGCTGTGCATGGTTGTGCCTGTCTGTAATCCCAGTACTCTGGGAGGTTAAAGCAGGAGGATCACAGGTTCAAGACCAGCCTGGGAAACTTAGCAAGACTGTCTCAAATAAAAAATTTAAAAATGCTTGGTGATATGTAGCTCAATGCAAAGACCTTGGGTTCAATCCTCAGTACTGTAGGAAGGAGTGGAGGGCTCTTCAAAACCTGTTTATAGGTTGCTCTGTCCTTCCCACAGGGAAGCAATATCACTAACTTGTGTTGTTCTAAAGATAACATGAACATATTGGCAAGCATATATAAGTGGGCTGGTGATTTAGTTCAGTGGTGCCTCCACCTGCCTTGCAAGTGCAAGGTCCTGAGTTCAATCCCTAGTACCAAAAAATAAAAAACATTTATATGTAAATTCCTCTCTTTTCTGTTTCTGGTGCCAGAGATGGAACTGAAGGTCTCCTGTATGTTAAGTAAATGCTTTCTTTTCAATACTGGGGATTGAACCCCGGGACCTTTTGAACTATACTTCAGCACTTTATTTTTTTGTTTGTTTATTTTGTGATGTGGGGGAGTAAACTCAGGGCCTTAACACTTAGCTACATTCTCAGCCCTTTTTATTTTTTATTTGGAGGCACGATCTGAGTTGCCTACATTGGACTAGAACTTGTGATCCTTCTGCCTCAACCTGCCAGAGTGCTGGGATTTCAGGCACCAAACACATGGCTTGTTTGGTTTTAGGATTCTTTTTCCTCTTTTTGCCCCCTGTGGTGGTAGGGTGTTGAACTGAGGGTGTTACACTGAGCTCCATCTCTGGACTTCTTTATTTTCAGTAAAGGTCTTGCTAAATGGCTAAACAGCACAAGCTGGACTCAAACTTGGAATCCTCCCACCTCAGCCCCCAAGAGGGCTGGGACTATAGGGCTGTGCTACTGTTTCTTCCATAGTTGTGTAACTACTAGAATCCCATTGTGTGGATGTGCCACTAAGTAACCAGTTACTGAAAATGTATTTGTTTCCAAACTTAGACTTGGCAGGTCTGTGAAAGCCTTAGTCAAGCTTTTGAGACTGGTATAGGGTTCCTTTGCGCTCCTCCTCTTGAGTGTAAGCCTGAGAGTGCCCCTCTGTGGGGCACTTGGGCGCTAAGGCTGCTGTGTAGCTGACAGGCTGTTATCTCCTCAGGCAGGCCATTAGGGTCACTCGAGCGGCCAGGAGCCACTTCCCGGAGTCTGAGCCCTTCAGGCTCACAGATGCAGAGGAGTCAGAGGAGACCAAGCTCCTGAGCCTCTTAGGAACCATCTTCAAAGGTAACCCTTCTTCCTCATCAGCAGCATGTTGGCCCATGTGGTGCTGAGGGAGGCATGGGCTGGGCCTGCTCCTGGCTCAGTGGCTCTCCTGAAGAGAGAATCTTCGGGAATCATTTTTGAGAAGTGAATCAAGATATTTTAGAGTCGGTTCTAGTTTCCTCCTTCCACAATATTAAAATGAAACAGCCAAGCCTGTTGACAGCCGCCGGGTTCCCCAGTATTCCCTTCGGCAAAACTCCCCTGTGCTCCAACCCCAGACCCGGCAGCTTCCGCTCAGATCCCAGGACAGGCCATGGGGACAGATGCACCTGCAGGCCCCAGCGGCAGTGATGAACTGTTGAAGCAGGAGATGCTGGTGCAGTACCTACAGGACGCCCACAACTTCTCCCAGAAGATCACGGAGGCCATCGGCATCATCAGCAAGATGATGTATGAAAACACAACGACAGGTAGGCAGACCGCAGGAAGGCTGGGCTGGGGCGGGAGCTGCTCCTGTTCCTGTTTCTGCTCTCTCTGCCCGGTGCTCGCTGCTCTGTGCAGTCCTTGTCTCGTGTGCATCTTGATACACTAGTTTTCACTCCAAGGCTTTGTGGGAGGCAGTGGCACGCAGGGTCGGGAGAGGCCTCCTGCCACGCTGCCCAAGGGGGTTCAGACTGAGTATCAGGGCTGCTCGCCAGGTGAGTGATGTGTGTCTGTTCCTGCAGTGGTACAGGAGGTGATTGAATTCTTTGTGATGGTGTCCCAGTTTGGGGTGCCCCAGGCTCTGTGTGGAGTGCGCCGCATGTTGCCTCTCATCTGGTCCAAGGAGCCGGGTGTCCGGGAAGCTGTGTTGAATGCCTACCGCCAGCTCTACCTCAGCCCCAGAGGGGACTCGGCCAGGTCTGTGGGTTCCTCCGCTTCCCTGACTGTCCCAGGACTTCCCACCCCATGGCAGCGGGACTGGGTGGGCTGCTCGCCATGAAGCCTGTCACCCTGAGCAACTACTTGACACCCTCGCTGTGCCGAGTTCACCTTGCCTGTCCCTTGATGTCTCCGGTCTCTGCTGTTCCCACAGGGCCAGGGCCCAGGCTTTGATTCAGAATCTCTCTCTGTTGCTGGTGGATGCCTCGGTTGGGACCATTGAGTGTCTCGAGGAAATTGTAAGTCTTCTCACTTTCTCCTTCATTCATTCAGCAAGCATGTGTATTGCGTATACAGTCATTCACCCAGACAGGAAGTAAGACTTTTCTATTCCCAGCCTTAAAGGACCAGTAGTCCAGGTGGGAGCCAAAAACACAAAACATTCCTAGAACAAATGCAGCATGCAGGCAACTAGCTGGCAAGGCAGTGGCCAGCAGCAATGACAGTGACATGCGTGGTGTTAGATGCGTGAAGGCGGTGCTGCTGTTAGCCTGCACTTACATTAACTCCTTAGTCCTCACCTCCCTGTCAAGGTCACCGAAATGTCTGTGGCCTCAGGGAGAGGATGAGGAGCACGGCTGCTTACAGCTACTTAGTGACGTGGAGAACACACTCACCTGGGCATGGCGGAGTGGGGCTGTCTGAGGCAGCCCAGGCCAGGGAACCGCCCGGAAAGCTGAGGACTCTACGCAGGCTTTGAAGATGAGTTTGACAGGAGGCCAAGTACTTGAGGCAGAAACCTGCGAAAGACTGAAGCCCATGTTGCAGAATGAGGACTCTGTGTCTGGCTCACATATACCTGGACAAGATAACAGAGCTGAGAGTATAGGTTGGTGCTGAATCCTGAAGGCCTCTGAGGACCCCCCAGAGCCTGGACTAGAACCCGGTGAAGCAGAGTCCTAGCACCTGAGCACAGCAAGTCCCCTTCAGAGTCTGCACTGTGGAGACAAACAGTGGGAGTCTGACAGCCAGCATCCCTTGGGAGGGGCACCACCCTGGCTGACCGCGTAGTGGGGTGAGGCCTCACAGGCTGACAGTCAGGCAGGAGCTCAAGGTGATGAGCAGCAGCACTGTGACCAGAGGAGACATGTGGGAGACCAGGCAGCAGCAGCGTGCAGGCTTGCTGAGGGGAGCTGGGCAGGGCAGGAAGGCTATGGAGGTGACTGCAGGTACAACAACAGGGCGAGGCAGCGGGCCGGGATGGACAACTGTGGAACTGGACTTACTAGAAGACTATTTTTAAAGGACAGACAGGTTAGACCGAGTGACTGAGTCATAAAGTGAGGTGACTGAAAGCTTTAAGTTTGTGTAAGGAAGAGTGTTGGTGATGTTGCCGCACCTTAAGGGGAAGTGTACTCGGTCCTCTCGTGGGTTCAGGCCATGCTGCTGCTCCAGTGTAGGCAGTGCATGGTGGAGAAGTGCTCACCCTGTGGAGGCCAGGAAGCCAAGCCTGCAGAGAGGAGGAATCGGAGGGCTGAGAGCAGAGCACACTGCCCTTCCAGCTTACACCCCTGGTGCCACACTTGGCCCAGGCCCAACCCCTACCATAACTCAGCCGTGGGCTCACTAGCAGGGAGCTCTGCTTCCTGGCCCCCAGGCCCTGCCAGCTGAGGGGGCACATAAAGCTTTCCTCCTAAAACAGAAAGAGAAAGAGACCATCAGTGGTGAGCACAGCACCACTGCCTTGAACATGAGACTTCCAGGGAGTCTAGTTCTGAGCCTCACAGAACTCCCAGAGGCCAGTTGCAGGGTCACTTTAGCTGGTGGAGTTTTACAGACAAACAGAATGGAGGGGTGGGGTGTGCAGCCCAAGGGTATAGTGCTGGCCTAGGAGACATGAGGCCCTGGGTCAAATCCCCAACACTGCCACAAAAAGAAAAAAAAAAGCAGGTGCGGTGGCACATGCCTGTAATCCAGCTTTCAGAAGGCTGAGGCAGGAAGAGGGTATTGAGTTCAAGCCCAGCCTGGGCTACATCATGAGGCCCCATCTAGGAAGGAAGGAAAAGGAGAGAGAGAGAGAGGCGCCTCCCTGAGCCCCTGCCTTACAGTTAGGCTCCCTTCTTCTGTCCTCAGTGCTGCTTTGTTCTGAATGCGGCATCTCTGGAGAAGTGGACCACGGGGAATACTGTTTGGGGCCTGACCTTTTTCTTTTCTCCTCAGCTCTGCGAGTTTGTTCGGAAGGATGAGCTAAGACCAGCAGTGACACAGCTGCTGTGGGAGCGGGCCACCGAAAAGGTCCCCTGCTCTCCTGCGGAGCGCTGTTCCTCTGTCATGCTCCTCGGCATGCTGGCTCGGTGAGGCCCAGCCCAGCAGACAGTGGGGGTCTGAGCATCCTGCTTCTTCCACAGCAGCAGCCGGGCCCTGCTGGGCTCTGATGGGCATCGGCTCTCTGAGTGAAAAGAGCAGCAACCCCTGCCTCATAGCCGAGGTTCAGGAGAACAAGCAGGACTCATGGGGCTGGTAGTGCGGTGGGGCCTCACTGCAGTGGCACTGTCTCCCTGAGTGCTGTCAGGCCTGACTTTGACTCTGCACTTCCTTTCCCTAGAGGAAAGCCAGAAATCGTGGGGAGCAACTTAGACACGCTGGTGAGCATAGGGCTGGACAGGAAGTCTCCACCAGACTACAGGCTGGCACAGCAGGTGTGCCAGGCCATTGCCAACATCTCTGACAGGAGGAAGGTATGTGGGACGGTCACCAGCCAGCTTAGGAGCAGGGGACCTCTCACCCGTGACCCTGTCTTTTTGTTCTGTTTTTGTTTTTTGAGATGAGGTCTTGCTGTGTAGCTCAGGCTGGCCCTGAATTCACTATGTAGCCCATGGTCTCAAACTTGTGATGATCTTGCCTCAGCCTCCAGGATGAGGTGCTGGGGTGACAGTTGTGTGTCACCATGCCCCACTTACACTGTCTTGCTTATTCTTTACACAGCCTTCCCTGGGCAAACGCCACCCCCCCTTTAGGCTGCCTCAGGAGCACAGGCTGTTTGAGCGGCTTCGGGAGATGGTCACAGAAGGTGAGCTATCCAAAGGGTCTGGGGCAGAATGGGCCCTGCCTGTGTGAACAACCCTCTTGTCCCGTGTAGGCTTTGCCCACCCGGACCCGCTCTGGATCCCATTCAAGGAGACTGCTGTGACCCTCACCTACCAGCTGGCAGAGGGCCCCGAGGTGATCTGTGCCCAGATGCTGCAGGGCTGTGCCAGGCAGGCTCTGGAGAAGCTGGAGGAGAAGAGCTCCAGCCAGGAGGAGCCCAGTGAGTGGACAGAGGCCAACGGCCTGGGTGGGGCGGCCACTAGCACTGTCCACAGCCCACAGCCACTCACCCCAGTACTTGAGCCAGTCCCCCCCAGTTTGAGGGCCACATGGGCAGAGGTGACGGGCAAGCCTGAGGGGACTGACCTGTCTCCTCCTGCCTTCCCTTCCCCTCCCCAGGCCAGACCATCCTAGTACTCCCCACTTTCCTCCTCATGCACCTGCTGTCCCTGGCTGGGGATGTGGCCCTGCAGCAGCTGGTGCACCTGGAACAGGCAGTGAGTGGAGAGCTCATTCGGCGCCGAGTTCTTCAGGAGGAGCAGGAGCACAAGACCAAGGAGCCCAAGGAGAAGGTGCGCAGGGCACGCGGTGCGGGGCATGTCCCAGACGCCTTGGGCCAGAACACGAATTCGCTGACCAATGTGAGTGGGGATGGGGCAGCCTGTCCACGCTCACCCAGGGAAGAGAGCTAGGGAAGCCAACTGCAGAGCTAGGCACCTCCTGACAGACACACGACACAGGTGCTAAGTGGATGCACCCCCACCTCCCATCAGCCTTTGCTAACAACTCACCCCAGGCACTGGGCCAGAGACAGACATCTCACAAACAGGTGAAGACGGAGAGCCATTGTCTGGCATGATCTAGTCTGTCTACCACGCATGGTATATTTTGCCCTCTGAGGGTGAATCAAGAAAAGGAATAGAGCTGGGCATGGTGGTACACACCCATAATCCCAGCACTTGCGAGGATGAGTCAGGATAATCGCTGCAAGTTTGAGACCAGCCTGGGATACATAGAGTTCAAGGTCAGTATGAAGAACATCACAAGACCCTGCTTTTTAAAAAAAAAAGCAATAGAGATACCTGCTTTGGCAACTGACAAATACAGGGCACCTGGTTATTTCCTGCCTTATTTAGGGTTTCTGTTTATGTTTGTGTGGTTCTGGGGATCCAACCCGAGACCTAGAGCTGGATAGGCAAGCACTTTACCTCGAGTTGGCCCTCGGGCGGGCCTTCCAACACCTGAGATGGTCTGACTGCAGCACCCACGCTGGGCCCTGACTTGTGACCCTGCCCAAGCAGCTGGGCTACATGTGAGCCTGCCGAGGGCTCCTTTCTCCTCGGTCTTTTGGCCACTTCTATGAACACATCCGTGCACCACCCTTCTTCAGAGCTGTTCATGCCAAACAGCGTCCTCTGTCCTGTGGCTTCCCCTCAGAACACGGGCTCTGAGACCATGGAGGAGGAGCTGGGGCTGGTCGGGGCCACGGCAGACGACACAGAGGCCGAGCTCATCCGTGGCATCTGTGAGCTGGAGCTGCTGGATGGTGAGCAAGCTGCCCTGAGCCCTTCTGCGGGAGCCCTGGCTGGGCCTGCTGGCTCAGACTGGGGCCCTCCTTCCGACAGGCAAGCAGGTCCTGGCTGCTTTTGTCCCGCTTTTGCTCAAAGTCTGCAACAACCCCGGTCTCTACAGCAACGAAGACCTCTGTGCGGGGGCCTCGCTGGCCCTCGGCAAGTTCTGCATGATCAGGTAGGTGGAGCTGCCACCTCCTGGGGGCAGCCAGATGACAGCTCCCTGACACCTGCTCCTTTCCACAGCGCCTCTTTCTGCGACTCCCAGCTCCGTCTTCTGTTCACCATGCTGGAGAAGTCACCACTGCCCACGGTCCGCTCCAATCTCATGGTTGTCACCGGGGACCTGGCCATCCGCTTCCCCAACCTGGTGGACCCCTGGACCCCTCATCTGTATGCCCGGTGAGGACCCTTCTGGTGCTTGCTCCAGGGCTGGGTCTGAGTGTGAGTCAGGACTCCTGGCAGGGCACAACTGTCAGCATCACTTAACACGACCGCATAGGCCCGGCTGGTGCTGCCCGGGGAAGGCAGTGTCCCTTCTCCCACCTCCGCATCTGTGTCCAGAGGGGCACCCTATGGGTGGGGTCCCTGCCGGCCCATCTCCCCGGGGCAGGGTGTGGCTCATGCCATTTCCTTGCCAGCCTCCGGGACCCAGCTCAGCAGGTGCGGAAGACAGCAGGGCTGGTGATGACCCACCTGATCCTGAAGGACATGGTGAAGGTCAAGGGCCAGGTGAGCGAGATGGCCGTGCTGCTCATCGACCCTGAGCCGCAGATTGCAGCCCTGGCCAGGAATTTCTTCAATGAACTCTCCCACAAGGTGAGGCGGTTAGGCTGCTGCCGCAGGCGTCTGTGGTTGCCTAGCCTGGCCTGACTCCGACTTCCCCACAGGGCAACGCCATCTACAATCTCCTTCCTGACATCATCAGCCGCCTGTCAGACCCTGAGGGCGGGGTAGAGGAGGAGCCTTTCCACACCATCATGAAGTAGGGTTCCCTGGCACACAGCCTCCTGCCCCAGCCCACGGTTGGCTCATTGCGGTGCCGGGGGAGAACCCAGTGCCTGGTGCCTGACCAACGCCCCCACCAAGGCCGCCCCAGCCCCACTCTGCTGCTCTCACAGTGACGGCCTCTGTGTCCACAGCCCCTGGGAGGGTCAGATTCTTTCCCAGCCTGGTGGCAGGCGCTGAGCAGCAGCTGTTCTTGGTAACCTCCATCCATGTAGAAGTGATGGTGGGCTCTCCTGAGTCATCAAAGGCATTCTCCCACCAAGAGAGGACAGCAGGGTATGGGGAGCCCCAGGCCAAGTGGCCCAGCCCAGCCAGCCTCTCCCTGCAGGCAGCTGCTGGCCTACATCACCAAGGACAAGCAGACTGAGAGTCTTGTGGAGAAGCTGTGCCAGCGCTTCCGCACGGCTCGGTATGGTCTGAGGCCACTGGGCTGGGCTGGGCTGGGCTGGGCTGGGCGTGTGACTGCGGGAAGCCCCGGATACACGCAGACCATCCTCATGGAGCCCTGGCCACCACAGGACTGAGCGGCAGCACCGTGACCTGGCCTACTGCGTGTCACAGCTGCCTCTCACAGAGCGAGGCCTCCACAGGATGCTGGACAATTTCGACTGCTTTGGAGACAAACTGTCAGACGAGTGCATCTTTGGGGCCTTCCTGTCTGTCGTGAGCAAGCTGCGGCGTGGCGCCAAACCCGAGGGCAAGGTGAGCTGCACAGGATGTGGCCACATCCCCAGTGCATTGCCTAGCTGCACTAAGCCAGCTAGCAGAGGGGCAGAGCCCACAGCCTGTCCTCCATTCAAGGATTATTGCCCTGTTTCTCTTTTTTCTAATAGACTGTATGTATGTGTGTGTGTGTATTGTATATATTCCACAGGAAATAAAATCTGTCGTATATGTATTATATATGTATATTGGTAAGCTTGTTAAATCATATGGCAATTCTTTTTTTTTTTCTTTTTTCTTTTTGAGACAGGGTTCCACTATGTAGTTGAGACTGACCTGGAACTCACTATGTAGCCCAGGCTGGTGTCCAACTCACAGTGATCCTCTCTGCCTCAGCCTCCTGAGTGCTGGGATTACAGGTGTCAGGTGTACGTGGCGCCAAACCCGAGGGCAAGGTGAGCTGCACAGGATGTGGCCACATCCCCAGTGCATTGCCTAGCTGCACTAAGCCAGCTAGCAGAGGGGCAGAGCCCACAGCCTGTCCTCCATTCAAGGATTATTGCCCTGTTTCTCTTTTTTCTAATAGACTGTATGTATGTGTGTGTGTGTATTGTATATATTCCACAGGAAATAAAATCTGTCGTATATGTATTATATATGTATATTGGTAAGCTTGTTAAATCATATGGCAATTCTTTTTTTTTTTCTTTTTTCTTTTTGAGACAGGGTTCCACTATGTAGTTGAGACTGACCTGGAACTCACTATGTAGCCCAGGCTGGTGTCCAACTCACAGTGATCCTCTCTGCCTCAGCCTCCTGAGTGCTGGGATTACAGGTGTACGCCACCACGCCCGGCCTTCCATGTAAATTTTAGGATTGCTTTTTCTAGTTCTGTGAAGACTCCCTGGTATTTTGATGGAGATCAAACTGTCTGTAGATTTTGTGTGAGATGGACATTTTGACAACAATGACTCTTTAGTCCACAAACACAGGATGTCTTTCCATGTGTGTGAATTCTTCCGTTTCTTCCATCTCTCACCTCTTTGGCTCAGTTTATTCCCTTATTCTGCTGATATGATGTCAGATTTATCATTTCATGTATCCTGAACCATCAGAGCCTGGGATGAATTCCCCCCAATCATGATGAATAATCTTTTTATTTGTTTTTGTTTGAGACAGGGTTTCACTATGTAGTTGAGACTGACCTGGAACTCACTGTGTAGCCCAGGCTGGTCTCGAACTCAAAGCAATCCTCCTGTCTCAACCTCCCAAGTGCTGAGATTACAGGTGTGCGCTACTACACCTGTTGGTGAATAATCTTTTTAATGTGTGATTTGGATTCAGTCTGTTAGTATTTCATTGAGGATTTTTATATCTATGTTCTCCAAGAACATTGGCTTATAGTTTTATTTGTAATGTTCCTGGTCTGGTTTTGATATCAGGGTAATAGCCTCAGAGAATGTGTTTGGAAGAATTCCATCCTTTTCAATTTTTCAGAATAATTTAAGAATTGGTATTAGTTCTTTAAATGTTTTGTGGAGCCGGGGATTTAGCTCAGCAGTTCCACCGCCTGCTTTGCAAGCGCAAGGACCCAAGTTGAATCCCCAGTACCAAAAATAATAGTAAATAAATGTTTTGTGGGATTTAGCAAAGATACTGGTGCTGGGCTTTGCTTTGACTGGAGACTTTTTTTACTGAGTCAGTCTTACTACATCGGTTGGCTCAGGTTTTCTATTTCTTAATGATTCAATCTTAGAAGGTGTGCGTGTCCATGAATTTACCCATTTCTTCTGGGTCATCAAATTTGTTGGCAAACAGTTTTTGCAAAGCTATGTCCTTTTGCTTCTAGTCAGTGTCCAGCTTCTGGGGACACAGGATAGACCAGGCGGCTTCTCCATTTCTTTGTAAACGCATTAGTAACGGTGTTTCCAGGCCTGCTCTCCCCTGCTCTCCCTCCAGGCTGCAGCAGACGAGTTTGAGCAGAAGCTCCGAGCCTGTCACACACGAGGCCTGGACGGCCTGGAGGAGACCGGGAGCCAGAGAGCCAACCCCGCCCGGAAGCTGAGCACAGGTACGCCCCTCGGTGGCAGGTTGGGGATGGGCTCCAGCCACAGCCACCTCTCCAATCGCGCTCCCTGCCTCTTCCAGTCTCCGTAGCCCCAGACAGCGACTTCGTTACACCCCGGCCTTGCCGTACCACCCGCCGGCCGCCGCCCACTCAGCAGCGCAGCTCCAAGAGGCTGCCCAGGGTCGTCTTCTCCAGCGATGAGTCCAGCGGCGAAGGTAGGCCATCGTGGTGTGGCCCCCCTAACCCTCCCACCCGTCCCCAGACAGGAGCTTCTCACTCCTCCCATTCTGTGACTAGAGCTCTCGGCGGAGATGAGGGAAGAGGAGACACCCCGGAAAACGACGCCCATCCGCAGAGCCTCTGCCCACCGGCGTGGGCCCTAGAGAGGCTGCCACCGTCCCTGGAGTTTTTAGCAGCTGCATGCTGTTCCACACCCGAGGCGTTGCCCTTTGCTAGCACCGTGGGTAGGAGTTTGCCCGTCTGCTCTTTCTACTTGAATAAATGTTTTTATGTAATTTTGGACGGGGTCTCCGCCTGTTTTCCTCTCGTTAGCTGGACTCTGCAGTGAGCTCAGGTTCCTCTGCGCTGCACTGCAGCACCCAGCACCGCACCGCGAGGCCCTGGGGCGGCCCCGCCCCACATGTGACGCTGGGCTGTCGCCAGCTGTCCTGTGTCCCCGGGAGCCACCAGTCCCTGCTCCCACCCCGCAGGACCCCCCCCTCCCCCGCGCGCTCTCTGCAGTCCCCTGAGTCACGACGGGAAGCAGCCCTGGACCTCCGCAGTGGCTGCTGTCATGACGACGGCGCCCGCTCAGCTAGGCAGTGACTGACGCGGTGGGGGGGTGAGGCCGAGGGATGGGGATCGTGCTTCGGGGGCCGGGGGCCG